ACAGAAGGTCAAGGACTGCAGCCTTCAATATGGATTGAAGCTCAACATCAAGAAAACAAAGATTCTCACCACTGGGCCAATTGGCAGCATCAGTATGAATGGTGAAGAGATTGAGATAAGTTAACAGTTTTAGTTTGGTTGGTTCCACAGTCAACACACTTGGTACCAGCAGCCAGAAATTAAAAGACAAATTACATTGGGAAAATCTGCTGTCAGAGACCTCTCCAAAGTACTGAAGAGCAATGATGTCAGTCTGGAGACTAAGGAGTGCCTGATGCAGGCCATAGTCTTTGCAATTACTTGCTATGCATCAGAGAGCTGGACAATGACTAGGGATTGTTATCCCTAGTTGAGACTTGATGCCTCTGAGCTGTGGTGCTGGAGAAAGAGTATTGAATATATCATGGACTACCAGGAGAACAAACACGTTTGTCCTGGAGAGGGTAAAACCAGACTGCTCTTTCGATGCAAGGATTATGAAACTTCATCTGATATACTTTGAACGTATTTTGCAAGGCGGGATTAGTCCATGGAGAGGGATGTCATGCTCGTGAGGGTGGAAGGACAGTGCAAGAGAGAAAGAACCTCGATGAGATGGATTGATTCAGTCACTGGGGTAATGAGGATAGGTGTGTCAGAGACAATACGATTAGCAAGGGATAGAGCAGGGTTTAGGGCTATTATATATAGGGTGGCTGTGAGTCGCAGGCAACTCAACGACACATAATAACAACCACCACCATGTAACCTTGCTCAGTTTGGACAATAGCTTGCTGTTCTAGGTTTCCCATGAGTGTAATCAAGTATTCTAGGATTCCTAGTCGTCCCAATGTTAGTCACAATTTGTTGTGATCCACACAATCAAATGCCTGGGCATAGTCAATACAACACAAATAGACATTTTTTTCTGGTACCCTTTGCTTTCTGTCAAGGTCTATCTGACAGCAGCAATGATATCCCTAGTGATGCAGCCTTCTCTAAGTCCTACTTGTATTTCTGAAAGTTCTCTGTTGATTCTAGTTAGTTTGGTATAATCAATCGTCAACAATATTTTGCTTGCCTGTGATATTAATGATCATATTTTTGGGGGAATAAGAAAAACTACAGATCTCTTCCAGTCAGTTGGCCAGGTACCTGTCCTCCAGATTTGTTGGCACAACCTGGTGAACACATCCGGGCTGCATCTATTTGTTGAAATGTCACTTTGTACTCCATCAATTCTTGGGGCCTTATTTTTTTTGGTCAATTTCTTCAGAGCAGCTTGAACTTCCTCCTTTATTACTATTGACTCTTGATCATATACTTCTTTCTGAAATGGTTTTGTGTCAGCCATTTTTTTTTTTTTGGTGTGTGTGTACTCTGTGCATTCCTTCCATCTTCTTTTGATGCTTCCTGGATTAGTCAATATTTTGCTCAAAGCACCTTTAAGTATTGTATTTGAGGCTTGAATTTGTCCTTCAGTTTCTTCATCTTGAGTAATGCCAGGCAAGTTCTTCCCTTTTGACTTTCTGACACTAGCTCTTCGTACATTTCATGATAATACTGAACTCTATTTTAATATTACTAAGTGCTTTTACATCTACATTCAAGAAAGATAGTGGTCTGTGGTTCTTTTTCTGGACTGTCTTTGCCTAGTTTTGTCATCCAAATAAGTTTCATAAGATAAATTAGAAATATTTCTTCCTTTTCTATTTTATAACAGGACTGCATTTGAATTACTAATTCTTTATGTGTTTAAACAGAATTTTCTTGTGAAACAATCTGAACCTGGAGAAAAATCTATTTTAGAATATCTTAAATGACAAATTCAATTTCTACTGATAGATGGAAGTTGAAAAGAAATGAAGTGCTAAAAGGATGACTATCAGGTTTACTAACGAATGTGTGAGGAACGTTCTGATCACATTCTATCATCCTCATTGACCATGAAGGCTCATCACCTAGTTGATGAGAAAGAAACCCCCTTTCCATTTACTGGCTACTCAAAACTCAAACTCACTGCTGTCCAGTTGTTTCTGACCCACAGCAACGCTCCATCTGGTTTTTGAGGCTGCAGATTGTAATGGAACCAGACTGCCCATCTCTCTCAGAGCCACTGGAGGATTCGAACTTCCAGACACTCTTAGCCTCTGCGTTCGCAGTACAACTCCCTAAGGACTCTGCTGCCAGAGCTCCTTCTTAGGCTACACAAATTAAGTGTCTGTTCAATTCAAATCAATAGCCACTAGCTACATAAAGCTACTAATGACTTGAAAGGTACCTGCTACGATGAAAGAATTTAATTTTTAATATTATTCTGTTTTAATTTAAAAACTGAAGCAGCATAATTTTTCTTTCCCCATTAAGCACAATGTATCATTTTGGAAGAACATTTCACTCTATTCATTCCACTGCATAAATATTACTGCTGTAGTATACATATGTTGCTGTCAAAGGAAGATCTGTGTCTTCCAGCTGCAAAGTCACAGAAGGACAACAACAGTGTACTTATGCCATTTACTTATTTTAATATGGTTCCAATATTATACCTGGAGCTCACATTATATTTCTCTTAGTTAACATGATTTTAAACAAGCGGTCTTAAACAGAGGGTGATTTTGACTTCCCAAAGGGACACTGCTGTCACCCCTTTGGGTGCTAGCAACATCTAGTGAAAGAAGATCTGAGTGATAAGCATCCTAAAATGTGCAAAACAATCCCTCAACAACAGAGAATTACCTGGCCCCAAATGCCAATAATGCCAAGAGTAAGAAACCCTGGTCTAAAGTGCCAAATTGCAAGTAATAGATTCAGTGTTAGAAACAAAATGCAAATCTCATTATCACCAGTACAACCACCTCAGGTCTCTTAACAGAATATTACTATGGGAAAAGTACTAATTTACTTAACGAAGCAATGAAAGGGATGGCAAGGTGGCTGGTGCTAAGATAATTTTTTCTGTAGAAGAATAATTTGGTTGGTATTCTATTAAAATGAGGTAAAAAGGAAAAGAAACACAATTTTTTTATATTATTTTACTAAATAAAACAAAAACTACAATGAACAAGTGAGAAGACTTAAGACTTAGTCACAATGAGAAGTTCTTGCCACAGTTCATTTAAGACGGGTGTCCCGAATCCCTAAGCTTAGTAAACTGCAGTTTCTGAAAGAACAAATGGAAATAATTACCTCTTAATATTTTGAAAGCAGTTTTTCCTTTAAAAATCCTTACCAGATACAGTATATAAATGTATCTTATAGATGGCCTGTGAACATTATAATGTGTTTAGATAAAAGTACAAGAAATAATAATTGTTAAATAGTCAATAACTCCAAATAGGATTAGACGGAGTCTCAAGACAGAGCTAAAGGGCTCGTAGGCAGACAACATTTACCTTTCTGTGTCAAGGGTCTCCTCATTTTTCATCCATCTAATGGTTGGAGCAGGAAATCCCGAGGCAACACAGGGCAAGACTGCACTCTGACCAATGACTTTAACTAAGGAAGAGGGTTGCTTCAAAAACATCAAATTTGATGTGACCTCAGGATCTAGAATAAACACATACAAAGACAAGACAGCAGTTAGAAAAGCACTTTAAGATGTAGAACAGAAAATTCCTATTTAGCCTGTATGGCTTTACATGACAAAGTGCATTGTACACACAAGTGATGGAGAATTCCATTAAATTAGCAGTATTTATTAAGTTCCTTCTATGTGCAAAGCAGCAGGCAAGACAATGTCTTTTTTAAAAAAAAATTTTAAGGTTTTTTTTTTTAAATTATTTTTGTGTGTGTACCGTCAAATTGGATCTGACTGGTACAGGAGGAGATTGTCCCTCCTTCTCCAGCAGAGCATCTGGTGGATTTGAACCATTCGCCTGTGGGATTGCAGTGCTGCTTCTTGCTGCTAGGCCACCAGAGCTCACGGTGATGTCATTCTTAAAGATAACTAAGTTATAATACCTGCCTTCAGGGTGCTTAGTGCTTACTGATCAACTGAAGGAAGTATGAAGTTAAACATTCATATTAAAAGACAAGGTAAAGTAAACACCAACAGTGGTACAAATGAGGAATCAAATGAACAATTACCCCAAGCAGCCCCCTCCATATTCACAAAGATAACAAGAGGTATTTCTTTCCTTCTCCTCATCTTCAAGTTATTTCTGAAAATCTGTCTTTGCCTTGTTCACTCAGTCTGTCAATCTTTTGGTATTACAGAGTAACCACCTAGCTGCTATTTTATCTATGTATCTCAAGAAGAATATTGGATATACTTTGGATGGCTAGGAGAACAAATAGGTTCATCCTAGAGACGCTGAAATAAGGTTGCTTCTTGGAAGCAAGGATTCTGAAGCTTTGCCTGACATACTCTGGACATGTTGCAAGGAGGGACCAGTCAGTCCTTGGAGAGCGACGTCATGCATGGGAGGGTGGAGGGACAGCGCAGAAAAGGAAGACCCTCTATGAGACGGATTGATTCCATTGACTGGGGTAATAAGGGTAGGTGTGTCAAAGACAGTAAGATTAACACAGGACAGAGCAAGGTATAGGGCTGTTGCACTTAAGGTAGCTACGAGTAGCAAGTGACTTGATGGCACATAAGAACAACAAAAGAGTCTCTTCAAAAAATATAAAATTACTACATAAGTACTTCATAGAGTTGTTTTCTTTTGGTCACAGAAAAAGGACATGACTTTGCAGGTAGAAGATGCCACTTTTGTTGTGTAGACTGTCAACAGTAGTAACCGATCATGCTGACCCTCTGGCAAGTTTTCAGAGGCAGATAATTGCATGGGGAAAGAGTGCCCATCTTCCATGACTTTGTAGGTAGAAGACAGGGAACTTTCTTTAAAGAATTTTATTTCTAGTCTTGATTTTTTACTGAGACAGTTCTCAGGAGACAGTTGTAACTTCTGTCCTAATACTCATAAGAAAAGATGTTCTACCGTCATGGTAACCATCATCAAAACTGGTTTTAAGTTTGTCTTGCTGATCTATGGCGGTTCTGCAGGCTTGACAACAGGTAAACACTATTTAATAAATTAGTAACAAAGAGCTTCAGTGAATATGCCTGTTTAAGACAATCAGTGATAGCCCATAGGCTCTGAAAGTTCGTCAATCAGTGACAGTCCTAAAAGTCAGCCAATCAGTGATAGACCTCAGGCTTTAAATGTTAGCTAATCAACAGTAGAGTCACTTACTTCGAAGGATGGTGTGACTCTGTTCTCACCTCTGCAACTAGCTATGAAACAGCTTCTATTATCAATATCAAACTCTTAAGTAAAATTTTTACGTATTTCCATCTCAGATACTGAGTAAGGGTCTCATTCTTTGGCACAGTGAAACTTGTTTTCTGGAGTCAGGTTCTGAAGGCTTCTCCAGAGGTTAAGAAGAAGTTATATTATAAGCTTTTCTAGCCAGGTAACTGCAAGCGTGGATGCAGAATGGGAGACAATGGCAACAGCTCTTTTTTAAAAAATAGAAAATCTTAAATTACTAAGGAAGAACGAAAGTCTCAGCAGCTGCTCAGAAGCCCATTACCTTTAATAAAATGAATTTAACTGTAACATTTAATATGCTAGGCACCATTTCTGGCAGCTGATAAAATTCCCTTCCCTTATAGAAAATGAACACTATCTTGGGAGAAATAAAGGCAGTCTCCTCTCATGCAATTTACAGCCTCTGAAAACCTGCTGGAGGGTCAGCTATGAACGAATGAGGTCTGACTTGATGGCAATGAAGTGGGAAAAGCTTGAGTCAGAAATGTGAATGTTGTTTTACAAGAAAGATTTAGTCAAGGAAGCTTTATTGATGAAGCAACACTTGAGCAGAGAGGTGAGAGAATAAGCCAGACAGATACATGAGGATGAGGAGGACAAGCAAACGCAGAGTGAGGCGGCCAGCAAGTGGAATCAGGAAGCACAAATCTTTAAAGACAGACCATATATGGAGTACTCTAGAAACATACTGTGGCCATTATCAGAGTAAGGAAGATAGGAGGGAGAAATGGGCGGGAGGGGAAAGGAGGGTGGTGGTGTTGAGATTGCATAAAGCCTTAACTGTAAGTGACATAGGACACCATTAAGGAGTTCTGAACAGAGGTGTGATATGATCTAACAGACATTTGTAAAAATTACTAAAGCTGCCCAACTGAAAATTAACTAGGATAGGAATCAAAGGGCAGAGATGACAATAAAAGAAGTATTTTAAACATTATTTCCAAGCCCATCAGGGGTACCCTCAATAGCTGCTGCTCATGATGATGGTCTTATTTTGCAAGCCAATTAAAACAGCCTATCAGGTGGCCACCACAGAATTCTGCCCATATGAGGTATGGATGGTTCAATTATACCCATAAACTCAGATTTGAAATAAGAAATATGGAAAGAATCAAGTACCTACCAGTAGGAATAGCAGCTCAAAGGCCATGAAAAACCAAAAGGCTAGCAGGACTATAATGAGCTCCAAGTGAAGTTATGTGTAAGCAGAAGTTATGTTGCTGGGAAAAGACAGAGAAGTAAGGAAAGCCAGTAGGGACAAAGAGAGTAATAAAACACACAAAGAGGGAAGAGTGAAAGAGGAGATGAGTATAGAGTGAGATGGAAGCTCCACAGAGATCTAAGAGCTCTCGTATGCCATATTCGTGAAGCTGTCAGATCAAGGTACCAATTTTCATATGAACTAGTCTGAGTGAACCTGATTTTTACAAGGAAACAGAGAAAAGGCACTCTATTTGGGGACAGGAACAGAAGAAAGGAACTTGATAAATGACACAATACTAATGTTTCTTTGGCCAAGAAGAATATGCCATTAGATACTGAGCATACTTTATCCGAAGACAGAGTTTTACTGATAAATCTATTAATTACAGATTGTGCCTCTGGCATAATTTCATCTTTTTATCTTTCTAGAAAATTAACTTATGCTGACAGAAACACACTATGCTATATTTTAACAGTACTTAATAAAAAATACCTAAAGAACCATCCTGAACTATAAATAAATCTCAAACAGTGCTGATAATGAATTAATACCTGGAAGAACTTTCAATTCAGCTTCATCACTGTACTTTGGCGGCCCACCACTTTCAATTACACAGCGATAAAGTCCCCCATCTCCTTCAGTCACGTTGCTAATAACCAGCGTTCCACTCGGAAGCTTCACAACTCTGTCATCCAGAACAAGGGGCTGTCTGTTCTGCTCCCATCTCACAAATGGAACCAAATCTGCATTAACTTCACAATTCAGAATTGCACTATTCCCAGCATAAGTAGTGGAAGGTTCTGGCTGGCTGGCAAACCGTGGGAGACCTGGACAATAAAGGAAAAAAAATATATATTTGAAGCATCACTTAAAAATAAAATTACAGAGGCCAGGATCAAGTCAGCTCAGGCGGTCACAATATGAGATAGAAACCAGGGTCATAAAGAAGGTCTACGTATCCAGGAGACTGGCCACATACAAATGTACTAAACAAAGTAAGTAAATATATTAAGGGTAAATTAGTGTCAGACTCATTTAAGTATAGAAAGAAGGATAAGTATAGTCAAGTAGAACGGTAGAATAAATCCAGATACTTAGAATAGATAAGGTATAATTGTAAACTTAAAAGTAGATATGAAAATATATCTAAATATAAATGTGTATGTATTAAAGATATGTTTCATATCCAATAATTACATATAAATTAATTCAGAAATATGTATGCATTTCCCAGCCATGTCTACTAGAAGGGCCCAGAATCAGTTTTATCTCAAAAGAAAGAAGTACATGGAGTGGTCAGATCTTGAGGTTTTAAATACCATTTCTACTACATGGAATCTGAATTCCTTGGATATTCTAGGACTAGTGTCGACAAAGAACAAGGTAAGCCTGGAAAATCATGTTAGAGAAAGTAAGGAGGTGTCTGAAGAAAGATGAAAACATGTCAAAATGACACAAAGTCAATATGAAGGGAGTTTCTAGTCAATCCTGGGATAATCAAAATAATGCATTATAAGCCACTGAATAAAATGAGAATCTAGGTGGGTGATCATGGTAATATAAACGTGTAAGTGGAAGCAAATGAAAAGCTATACTTTACAAAAATGACAAAACTAGAAAACTATCACCATCTAGTACCTATTTTGGAACTCTGGTGACCTAGGAGTTAAGGAGTTACAATGCTAATCCTAAGGCAGGTGGTTCAAATCCACCAGCTGCTCTGAAGCTGAAAGATGAGAAGTCTCCTCTTGTGAGATTTACAGCCCCTCAAAACTCACTGGAGGGTAAGCTATGAGTCAGTTCTGACTCAACAGCACATAATACCAACAACATGTTGTGGTTGTGTACCGTGAAGTCAGGACCAACTCATAGCTGACCCTCCAGTGGGTTTTCAGAGGCAGTTAATACATGGGAGAAGATTGCCCATTCTCCTGAGGAAGCTGTTGGTGGATTTGTATCACCTTTGGGATTGCAGTACAGCTTCTTACCACTAGGCCACCACAGTCTCCTAATAACAACATGGTTGTGTTGCTGTTGAGTACCAAGTCAGAATCTACCCATAGCTGACCCTCCAGTGGGTTTTCAGAGGCAGTTAATTGCATGGTAGTAGTCTGCCCATGCTTCTCCCTTGGAGCAGACGGTGGATTCAAACTGTGTGCCTTTGAGATTACAGTACGGTTTTTTACCACTAGGACATTAATGCTCCCTAATAACAATATAGTACCATTAACTCAGATAATAATCATCCAGGGATGCTAAAACAAAAGTTTAACAAGAAACAAAATATTTAAGCATCTCTTTCTAAAATACGTCTTACTAATAAACAACTCAGGAGCTCTGGTGGCTTTGTGCTAAAGACTTGTACTGTCAACCCAAAGGCTGGTAGTTCACACCTACCAGGTGCTCCAATGGGAGAAAGATGGGCAATCTCTTCCCATGAAATTTACAGCCTCTGAAAAGCCAGTAGAGCTGAGAGTTTGTTCCAACTAGAGGACAAAGAGTGGGACACAGAGGAAACACAGATAAACTGAAAAGACACATTTTACAAAGTCGCACTTTAAGCATCAAATTCATGAAAGAAAAAGCACAAACTGTTAAAAACAGAAGCAGTCTACAGCAATACAACTAAATTATCATCTTGCAACAGAAAGGAAAAACTAATGGGTCTGCTTTGGCTTGTTTTTATTTGTTGGCGTGTTGAGGGTTTTTTCCCTATAAAGAATATTACCAAAACAATCACTGAAAACTGAATAATAGATTAGATGCCAACACTGTATTTCCCTATTCCAGTACCCAACCAAACTTGCTGTTATCAAGTAAATTCCAACCCATAGTAAAATGTGTCTTTCCAGCTTGTCTGTGTTTCTTTCCTCTGTGCCCCACTCATTGTCCTCTAGTTGGATCTGGATGAGGGTATATAGGATTTCTTGGTTCTGTTCTTGTAATTACCTTACAAACTTGAAATATCTTAAAAAGAAAATATTAACACTAAAAGGGGAGTTTATAAACATATTTTCCACAGAATACAGTGGTTAAGATCACCAGATCTGGAGTTACCTAACCTAAATTTGAAATCCCAACTCCACAATTTCATGGCTTGTTAAGCTGGCAAGTCATTTAACCTTTCTCTAAGCCCAAGTTTCTCCATCAATGATATAAAAACAGCATAAGGCTTGTTTCATATGACTGTTAAAAAAATTAAATGTACAGTATAAATATTTCATAGATAACAATAAATTAGGGAGCTCTGGTGGCCTAATGGCAAGAAACTGTGCTGTAATTCCAAACTATGTGGTTTGAGGCCACCAGCTCCTCCATAGGAGAAGAAAGGACAATCTCCTCCCCTGTAATTAACTGCCTCTGAAAATCTGCTGGAGGGTCAACTATGGGTTGGCAGGAGGGCCAACTCTAAGGTACAAAACAACAATAAATACAATAATAAAATACTAGCTGTTATTATTAGCAATAACAATATTTAAAAATTGACTCTGAAGTGCTAAAATGCAAGCGTGTTTCTTGAAAAACTAACAAATATATTCAATCCTGAAGAAAATATTTCTCACTTTATGATGATTATGAATCTAAATGTTAATGACGCAATGATGCTTACAGATTTCTATTTCCATGCTACAAAATTTTTCTTGTTTTTTATTTCAGGGACATTTTTGAAGGAAAGAAACAAAGATATAGTTACTCAAATATCTCCATTTCAGAAACCACTAAGTAGAAGAAATTAACAAAAATAAACATGGACACTGTTAAGGAAAATGTCTTAACATCTATAGCTGACTAAAGTATTTAAGGAAAAGAAAAAATATTCCTCTTGAGGTCTCATGAAGATGAGTAATTTTTAAAAATACAAACCAACAACATATGGGCAATCAGTAGACAAGAGGTTTCAAAGAGTTTCTGAATAGGGAGAGCAGATGGAAGAATGAGTAACTAACATATGCAGAGAAGACTACAACTTCCTGTGCTCATAAGAAGAAAGCCAGTTTTTCTACTGCCTACAGAGACTTGCAGGAGAAAAAGAAGAGTGGGAGCAAGCTATGGAGCCAATAAGACGTATTTAGATAACTCTATTTCCCCACCATAGGGCACAAACACCCACAGCCAGGCAATTGACCAGACAAGAGAGCAGCAAAAATCTGACTGCCTAGAAATGCCCCAATTTATCTATCATTCATTGATTGGGTCATAGTTGACTTGATGACACATAACAACACAGTTAATTCTGTGAGCTGTCTAATGTTAGTAAATTTCCTTCCTGCTTATCTTGGTTCAAATGCATTTCTACTGGTTGCAAGCAAAGAATCTGAATCAATAATTTATGGCAATGGTGTGGCAATATCTACCTTTTTCTTCTTTCTCAGTAGTTTTATGGAGACATAACTTACTTAGAAAGTTCACCATTTTACAAGCACAATTCAACAGCTTTTTGTATATTGAGAGTCGGACAATTAATATCCCAATCTAATTATGGAACATTTTCATCACATTCCAGAAAGGAACCCTGTATTCAAGAGCAGTCTTCTCATTCCTTAACCTCAGCACCTTCCACACCAGTCTTCAGTCCTAGACAATGACTTATCTACAACTGAAATGCTGATTTGATCTGAGGATCACTACCAGTGTCCACTAAAAAACAGGCATTTTACAGCTTTCTATTCTCCACCTTCATAGATTTTTCACAACTGCAGTAATTCACGAAGCCATTTATTGGCTAATACAAAAAGGAACAATGTTATGGCTAAACTGCAAGTTATACAAAACCATACTAAGTGGTCTATGCTGGTTAAGATAAAAGTTAGCTATCAAAGTGATTAATTTTATATTTCTCTTATCATTTCAAAGTTTGGAAAGGAACTGGATTATTATTTCTGATAATAACTTTAATTCCCCTAAATAATCAGATAAGTAGAAAAGGAGTGCAGTTTATTTCCTATAGGACAATCTATATGTTGTTGTTGACTTCCTTCGCCTCATAGAGACCCTATGAACAAAAGGCCTGAAGCTCCTCTACAACCATCAACATTTATCAGAGTACACAGAGTTTCTGGAGGCATTATTTAGGAAGTGTATGCCACTTCTGCTTCCAAACAATCTATATCACAGTATATATAATACAGTCCACAAATACAGTACAGTCTATTTTTTTCCAAATATATGCAAGTATGTCTTTAGCTATAACTTATTTACACTGTGAATTTAAGAAGTATGCTAGTTCAAAATTATAAGATTAACAGATGGTGCTAAATAATTATGAAACATACTGGCAGAGAGGAAGGGAATAATATTCAACTATTTTTAACACTCTTCCCAACACTTAACAATGATATAAGCAAATTCTAAGCAATCTAACCAGACTCACCCAAACTCTAGCATACGCACATACACACAGTATATGTTAAACTGGTATTTTAAAAATCAGATTATCTGCTGTTAAAAATTCAATGAAAACTCCAGGATAATACTTCTTTTATCAAGGTTTACTACTACTCAGAAAATACAAACCATTCCCTTACCTGCTACAGTGAGTCTGGCTGTCCTGCTAACAATAGTCCCAAGGCTCTCCACAGTGGCCACACACTGATAATAACCTTCATCAGGTTTATTGTGCTTGGAATGCACCACGCTGCTGATAAATAAAGAGCCATCTGGAAGAAGCTGGCGTCGATCATCGGATACCAAGTTTAAAAAAGTTCCATCTTTCTTCCATTCAATTTTTGGAGAAGGCTCAGAATATGCTGAACAGTTTAATATAACAGAAGAGCCTCGATTTGAGAGTGTATCCACGGGCTCCACCAGAAAATAAAACGGAGTGAATGTTCGGATGCTGGCTCCTACAAAAACAAAAATAAAAATAAATTAAGTAAAATTCTTTATGACTTCTATAGAAAAATGGAGCATGTCCAAAAGTTCTTCTTCTTCTTCTAAGAAAGATTTATTTCTTAGCAAAGATCCAGGTCAGTAATGAAAGGTAAGTCACCAAAATATCTAATTGTCTAATAAAGTTCATCACTATAGCATAGAATTTACTCCAATACTTCTTTTTCTACTTAGGGAAAATCTCAAAACTAATTCCTGTTCTGCTAAGATTTCTAGTCCATTATTTGGATCTATAAATATTAATTGAGAATTTCAAATTGGAACCTTGGAATTCTTGGTTTTTATCAACTGGTCTCTATCCTTAAGGCTTGGATAAAGGATGAGTACAAAATATGAGTAAGTTTTGCCTCTTTTCATTCTTCAGACTGTCAAGGATTCAGGATACACCTGAAAGTTTTAAATTGGGGGAAACAATGGTGTCCTAGGTGTTACCTTTTAATAGTAAGCTTAAAGGGTTGTACACATTCAGAAATTCTGTATTATGTTTCCAATTTGGAAAAGCACAGACTTGAAACTCAAGATAATGGACACTTCCTGCTACCGTATAATATTTGATGATGTGGCATACTGCAAAAGTTATTTTTAAATGGTTGTGCCCTTTGTGCATGATATAAAAGAAGCCCATAAATATCCACATCACTATTAATGCTTAAAACTTACTTTTACTGTACTACCAAGTCAAAAGTGTCTCAGAGCTGACCCTCCAGCAGGTTTTCAGAGGCAATAAACTAAACAGGAGGAGACTCCCTATTTTCTTCCATGGAGCAGCCAGTAGTTTAGAACTGCAGGCCATTGGGTTGGCAGCACAGATCTCCCTTTACTTTTTTCTAGCACACCAAAAGTTGATACACTCAGAAAAAAAGAACAACGTAATTAAAGACTATGACAGCTGAGCAAATAAGCTCTTGTTAAAATTTGATTAATGTCTAGAAAAAGCAATGTTTCAAATTACAAAAAGACTAAATTCAAGTAAGACATTAAAATATTCAAATCACTATATATTCAAATTTTCTGTGAAATATAAAGAAAATTAAAATGTTTTAAAAATAAGGTATTTTTTCCCTATTTACTGGCCATTTATATTTCTTTCATAAATCCATTCACCATATTAGAGCTCTGATGGCTTAGTGATAAGGAGTTGCTCTGGAACCCAAAGGCAAATGGTTCAAATTCACCAGTTGCTCCATAGGGGAAAGCTGGACAATCTCCTCCCATGTGATTTACTGGCTCTGAAAACATGTTAAAGGGTCAGCTATGAGTAGGTCCCAATTCAATGGTACATAACAACAAAACCACATATTTTGTCCATTTGTCTAATGAAAGTCATCTTACTAAAACTGAATGAACTCTTTGGTCACAACTAGCATGTTTTGCAAATATTTTCTTCCCCATTTTAACTTTATGATTTTTGTCATAAGGAAAAAAATTAAACCTATTATAATTTAATAGGTCTTTTTCACTTAAGAGTAGTAAAAAATTGCACCCTTCTAATACTTTTGTGGTTTATCTTTTACATTTAATCTTCATTTTTATGTACCAGCAAATTTTGGAGCAGTTTATTTTTCTGAATCCCTGGCAAGTTGTTTTTAACAAAGAAAGAACAAAATTTAAAAGAAACATTCATTATAAACTACATTCTGAACCAGGGAAGTATTTCCAATTTAAAGATTTATCTTTTTCTCAAAATAAATTAATAAAGAATACCCTCATGTGCTACTAAATTTATAATCGGAAAAATTAAAACCAACTTTTCAAATATATATGTGCGTGTTTTTATCTAGAATTTATTTACACTGTCCTAGAGATGGTCCTAATTCAGTATTATAAGATTAACAAATGGCTCTAAAATAAATATTAAACACACTGGCAGGAAGGAGGTAATATTAAACTGCCTTAAAATCCTTCCCAACACTTAAATGACAATGTACACTTTAAACAATCTAATCACACCCATTTCCTTCAAACATCTTGAAAAGAGTGTTGGAAGAGTATCACATATCCAATGTCAGTTGATAAATATGAAATTGCTATTTTAAACCTTAAAACTAAAAAGTAGTTGAGAAATTTTTCATAAGTAATCTGCTGTTAGTTTACTTCTCATTACAATCTAAAATGTTTTATTTATATCCTGGAATTATGGAAAAATATACAATCTTAAAGTACAAAATTATAACTACACTAAGAAAAATTGCTTTTTCAATATTTTCACTGTTATTTTTCTATCTTATCTGTATTTAAACAGCAGAAGTACATAATGGACAAACTGGAAGCCAAAACACACATATTAACAATTGAAAATATTTCACTGCATAAGTTAATAAACCAAATTTATTTGCCACCAAGTAAATTCGAACTCAGCAATTCTGCAGGACAGGGTAGGGCCGCGCTCTAGGGTTTCCACCACTGTAAATCTTCACAGAAGCAAACTGTGTCCTCCCTCTTCCCACAGAGCAGATGTAGTTGTTGGGTGCCATCAAGTTAGAACCAACTCACAGCTGACTATTCAATGGATTTTCATAGCTCTGGTGGCCCAGTGGCAAGAAGCTGTGCTTCAATCCCAAAGGCATGCAGTTCACGGCCACCAGCTGCTCTGTGGGAGAAGGATGGGCAATCTCCTCCTGTGCAATTAACTGTTTCTGAAAACCCACCAAAGGGCCATTTATGGGCCAGTTCTGACTTTATAGTACACAACAAAAACAACCACAACAACAAATTGCACAGGAGGAGCCTGCCCATCTTTCTCCTACGATGCAGTTTGTGGATCCAAATAATGTGTTTTTGGTTTGGCAGTGCAGCTTCTTACTGTTAGGCCACTACAGCTTCCTTGAGAATAAATTGCTTCTTACTGAGAGAATAAATCATGAAGATAAAGGTCAATAATTAACAATGTTTTTAATTAATATGCTGTTGTTATATATCCTGAGTCATTACCAACACATAACTGACCCTCCAGCAGGTTTTCAGAGGCAGTAAACTACACAGGAGGGGACTGTTCATCTTCTACTTGTGGAGAAGCTGGTGGATGCAAATCATGTGCCTTTGGGCTTTAGGTTGTCATCATAACTGCTTACCACTAAGCCACCAGAGCTCCCCCTTAAGTAATATATATTGGAAATTTTTGTGTGTAGAATAATGAAGTGCTTGAAAATGAACTGACTTCACTACACACTTACATACACAAACACACACACATCTAACATATATTATGGAGCAGCAGGTTGGATTTGAACCTTGTACCTTTGTGGATTGCAACTCAGCTTTTTACCAATTCTCAGGCTACCAGTGCTCGTTACTTAAGAAACACTGTTAATTACGGACATACCATATTACAATTTATTCCCTCAGTAAGGCAGAAGTGACTGACTTAAGATCATTGCATTTTGTATAAACTTGACTGGACTTCAATGTTTCTATTTGATCTGGCCTCAATCTATCCTCTCACTTCCTCTCCCATCACCTTCCTCATATCTTCCAAGGCATGAAAGATTTTACTCAGTCCTGCCATAGCTTAAACCCTGTTGGCATAAACTATTCCCCACTCAAAGCCTGTACAGTTAACTCAAAGCCTTTCTTTAGATTTGATTTAAACATCACTTTCTCAGAAATACTGTCTTTCCCTGCCTACGGCAAACAGTTAGCTTGTCAAATGTAAACATGACTTATCTACATAGCATTTCACATAGTCTTAATCTTTAAATATTTGTAACTTGTTTACAGCAGAGGCTCCAGAACTTTATTGGTTCCTGCTGCTTCTATTAGCATAGGCTTTTTTCCTTTTTTTAACTGAGTCTCAACACCAAAAGAATTAGCTGGCACAGTCAAATTAATACTCACCAATTATTTCTGAAATAAGTCTTTTTGAGAAAACAATATACCAAATTGAAAAGTATCTTTACTTCACTTTTACATTATAATTTGGTTTTTTGTGGAAAATATACATATATGAGGCACTGAACAACTTCTCAAATCTTAGCATCAAACAGTATTACTAATCTCATTTCCGCAGTGATTTTCACATGCTACTTTCTTTTGTATTGAAGCAACCACCTATAGACATCAAAAGGAGTTCTCAAAAGGAGTGTCACATAATCAAATGTTCAAATTGTTAACTATCTTGAGCTACAAGTTTGCAAGATGTCCAACAGATGTCACTATGCTTCCCTCAAAAATCTGACTATTTCTACTAGCTCACTGACATGCCCAGCGTACAGTACCTCTGGTCATGGTTTAGGAACCACAGGAATGAAAGCTACCTTTCCACACTATGCAGTTCACCATGGCTCCACTGTCAATCAGCTTAGAGGATAGCATCAATCTTTAGATTACATAACCAGGCAATTTCTACTGGTTACAGGATCTGCAAATCTTTTGTCTTCCAAGGAAAGTCTATTCTCTTGCATTGCTGATAAAAATGGAAATGCAAAATCAATCTGGAACTATCCACCAGAATTTAATATGCCTCTATCCTTCAAGCTAACACTCCCGCTCTAAGGAAGAGATCATGCAGAAATAAAAGTACTACACATGAGACTGTACGTACTATGATTATTACAACTCTTTAAATATAGGTATGTTTATGTTGTTAAGTGCCATCACATCAACTATGACTCAATCTCCCCATGAACAACAAATCTGTCCCCTGACCTATCTTGTGCCATTTTTGTCATCTCTAATATATATGAGCCCTTTGATACCCCACTGTCAGTTCATTTTGTTGAGGGTTTTCCTCTCTTCAACGACCTTTCGCATTTCTAAGCATGGTGTTTGGGCTTTTTTCAAGCATTGGTCTCTTCTTAACAACTTGCCCAAGGTATGTGGCACGATGTTTCGCCATCTATGCCTCTGAGGTGTAGCCTGGTTACATTTTTTCCAAGACATATTTGTTCTTTTGGGATATTCAGTACTCTTTTCTAACACCACAACTCAAAGGCATCAATTCTTCCTCTGTTATCAT